CTGGGAACAGAAAGGCACTTTTGGCCTTTTTCAGTGTGAAGAGGAGCCCAGAAGAAGCAGTATCAGAGTATCCAACCTTGAAATCTTTTCATGCTGCTCAGAATTGCACCTGCCACTGAGATCAGAACAAGCCAAATGATTATGTTACAAACCAGTAAAAATGATTCTCGAGAAACAAGCATGATCTGATCTGTCCTGGAGGATTGAGCTACAGAATTAACTCTTAGACAGTCTTTTCCTGGTCTGTGCATAAGAGAAGGCAAGGTAGAGAGGAAAGGCAGCTCTGGGGAAGTCAGTGATACAGGATGGGAGGAGGTGATAAAGAAAAAGATCAGAAATTAGTGTCTTTTAAACACTACTCTCCTGAACAGGTATTCTTGTGCTGGATGTGCAGCCTACCCATGCTTTTTGGGAGTGCCACCATACACAAGCTGAATGGTTTCTCTCCTGCAGGGCACAACAGCCTTTTTTTGCCCAGCGATGACTGAATATTTTATGTTGCTGTTTACCCAGCAGTTCGGAAGATTCCCAGTGTAGCTCTGAAAAAGCTGAAAGGGGGACCAAAGTGTCTTGTCACACCTGGGAGCTTGTTTGAGCAACATAGGAGGGGACAAGTTTGTCAAAGCTAGAAAGAATATTGTGCGGTAATATGTGCCTTTTCATAGTGGTGACTTTCCTCCAGCCCTAACAGTCTCACAAGGAATCAGAAGTGAAGGAGGCAGCCCAAGGGGGACTGTGAGCCTTCCAAGCAGCCCAGATGATCTGTGTTATGTAGTTCAGGGCTGGCATTGCATCGAGGGGGCTCACGTCTTGACTGGTGTAAATCAGCACAGTCTCTCTGGAGGCTCTGGAACTGTGCTGGTTTATCCTAACTGAGAAAGGGGCCCATGATATCCAGGCTCAGACCGCATGATGTAGGTTTGTCCTCTGAACATGCAAGAGGTATCCTCGCACTCTAGGGAAGTATGGATTACATTAAGGAATTTCTAGCTGGTGAGTGGAGGAGCCCATCACAATTAAATACAAGTCCTATATGTCCTGCCTAAAATTCAGTAATGCTGTGGCTGGGCACTGCTGGGCTCACTGCCTTGGGAGAGCAGTAGCTACCTGAGCTCTGGCTAGGCTAGGGAGCCAAGCAATAGCACTTGATGGGAAGAAAAAACATCCTCTTTCTTGGGAGGCTTTTCTCACAGGATTGTGGCCTATCTGTTATGAGGAAGAAAAACTACTATGGAAAAATAACAATACTGTCTGAAAAATCTTTAATTCAGCTCACTTTTTTTTCAGCTCACAAAATAAGGGGCTCATAATCCCTTGGCTTTACCTTGTAGTCAGTGAAGAGAGATGACTATCCAGAGAAATACTCAGGTTAACTACTGTCTGCCTTGCTTTTTGTAGAGGTGTTTGTCCCTGTGACTACAGGGTGGGCAGAAGGTGCTTACTAGAACTCTGTATCCCAGGCATAGTATTCCAATAAAATCCCATGGGAGGAGCACTCCCTAGTAGAGGTCAGCTGGCATGACAATGCAGGAAGGCCAGAGCTCCAGCCTCCATGTCAGAGTGAAGGAGACCAGACAGTAATGAAAAGATCATGACTGTAAAATTAGCATGGAGTGGATGCTCCTGACATAGTGTGTTGGAATGTTGGCAAAATCTCAAGGAAAAATTAGAATGGAAAGAAAAGTTAGAGGAAAGGACCCTGAGAATAAGCAGAAGACTAGAGCAGAGTACTGGTAAACGTTTGGACTAGAACAATGGCTGGAACATGGGTGGACTTTAGAAGGATTTAGGCCAAGCTCTGACTTGAAAACAAAATTCATGTTTGGATTTGACCCTGCTGATTGTCATGGGTGCTGCTGAGTTTACAGGTTTCCTCACGGAGGAAGGAACATGTAGGGACGAGAGCAGTGGGGTCAGGGGTGTCTTTGCACTTCTGGCTTGGCAGATTTTTCTCTCTGTGGACTTTTTTCAGCCTCTGGGAAAGTCCATTGTTGCTACAGCCTCATTTACTGTAGTTTTCCTCCTAATTCTTATTCTTGCTCAGAAGGGTGCAAAATTTGCAGTCAATCAGAGGGACTTTGACAGTGGAGTTTGTGAAAGATAATTAAAGCCTGGAATCGCCTACATGTTTATTTTTATTTTTTCGAAATATGCTGGGATGAGTCCAGATTGTATATCAGGAATGGTTTCTATTACTTTTCTTCACTTTAATGGCACCACTTTTTTTTTTCTTTTTTTTTCCCCCTCAGATTTTTCCATTTGCTGCAAAATATATTAGGAGAGATAATTCCTTTCCATGCCATTTTCTCTTTCAGGGTTGCCAGAGCCTAAACATTATTGATACCAATCCTTCTGCTCCTTAGTCCAGCTACCTTTTAAAAATATTATTTTATTAGAACACCTTTGCATTAAATAGCAATGTTCAAAGCCAATTCTCAGGTGCTGTAAACACACTCCTGCTTTGGGGCAGTCAGCAGGTTCAGCAGCACATTTGCAAGCAACAGCATTTGATGGGAAGCTCTTGATGCTCACACCAAGCTGTGGTGCCAAAGCCTGGCACAGATGCACTGCAGTAGCATGGGCAAGCCACAGCACTTGACAGCAGCAGAGTGACCCGGGGCTTTACTCTGTGAGTGCAAGCCCCCCCTAGAGAAACGTGGCAGGGTGAAATGGAGACTGGTCAGGGCAGGGGAGTTCAGTGGTCATGGTGGTAAGGTGAACTCAGGGGAGGGGAGACTCCCCTGGAAAGAGGTGAAGACTTAAGGAATACTTAAAGGGAGGTAAGAGAACATGTGACAGTCCGATATGGCAACTATACAACAAAAATTATAAACTGGGAGGGACCAGACTGACAAACAAGTCAGAAGATGTGGGAGATCCTTCACTGGTTTCAAGGAAAAGGAATGTCTTGGTCAAAGTGAAAGAGAAGAAAAGACATGAAAAGAAGTGAAAGAAAAAGAAAAAGGAGGATGAAAGAAAGATTTTGTTCAGCATTGCAAAGGCCTGGGGTAGATCCACTGGGAGAGGAGAGGAGATGTATACAAGTAAGAAGGGAAGGAAAAGCAAACAAGAGATTGATGAGTATCACCTGTTGTCCACAGTCATAGCTAAGGCTGCAGTGAACCATGGGTGCATCCAGGCTACTATTAAATTGCTGGTTACTGCCATGTAAGTAGTACCACACCATTATTCATGGTGTGGCTGAGGCAGCAAGGGGTGCCAGCAGTCCTGGAGACAGCCCAGTTAGCTTTATAAGCTGAAGAAGTAATTTTGGGAAGAGAACCAGAGCTGCTCAGGGAGGCAGCAACAGAACACAACCACAGCAGAGATTTTTTCTGCTCAGAGTGGATGAAATGCAGGTCTTCCTTTCCCTCTTTTGTCTTCCATGGGCCGTGTCCCTCTAACTGGCAGCCACTCTTTCCCAGTGTAGGAGCAGTATCTGCACTGCCAGTATCCACCTGGGGAACTATTGCCTTCAAGGGCTCTCAGGGGTCCATGAATGACAACTCCTTCCCTGCAGTGACCAGATGCTTCAGCACTTGTGGAGCAAAGGGGTTGGAATACCTTCTCCCTCCTCAATGAAAATGAAATGTAAGAGCCCTCCATCCCCTCCCTACAAGCAACCAGGATGAAAGTTAACCAGGATGAAGGGATGGGGGGGCTATAAGGCAGGGGAGAAATATATCTTTGTGTCTGCTTGCAACTTTGTAAGAGGCAATGTTACCATGGCAATGGGTGGTCTTTACTGAGAAGGGGAGCTACAGCCTTAGTGTGAGGAGAAGGGCGGGAGCGATGATAAAGGGAGGCAGCCCAGAAGTCTCATGGGAAGGGAGAGAAGCAGGGCAGGGAGGTGATGTTCAGAAAACCACCTTTGGCAAAGTGGCTGTGACAGCAAGCCTGACATCTGGCATGGCTGCCCCACAGTGCGGGCTCTCTATTGAGCTGCTACAAGATGGGCACCTTTAGTCTGAGCCCGCATATTTCCACTGAGATCATCACTCCTGTCAAACGAGGAGGCACTGCAATTAGCCCCCGAGGCCTCCTGCATGGCTGAAAGCCCACACCTGGATGTGCCCATTCTGCTCTCCCCTGTCCCCACCCCTCAGCCTTTTGGTGTTTCAGCAGAAGCCCTGCTGCCAGCCCAAGATGACCACACTGCGTGGCCAGCAGACCCTGGACAGCCGGCAGTGCGGGCCCGCTGCCTGGTTCGGGGCCAGGGAGTTTCTCCAGCCCCACAAAGAACTACCACTGACAAGCCAGTATGGGAAAGGTCTCCTCCCCATTTCTCACACGATGCGGATGGGAGAGGAGTTTCCTCGGTCTCCTGTTTTTTGCAAGGGGAGGGGCTGAGTAGCCTGTGCGTGCCTGGAACAGTCAGACGATTGTGCGGGAGGTGGGGAGGAGAGGGAACAAAGAGCCGGGGCTGACAGCGCGGCACCACCAACCATCGCAGAGCAACACCCGGCCTTCTCCCCACCGCTGCCCCTGCAGCCTGGGCGGGCCCTGTCCCTTCCACTCCAGCCACCGCTTGCCCCAGCCCCGCTGCCCTCGGCAGCTGTGCGGCCTGCGGGCAGGGTTGCACACAGCGCCGGGCCCCCAGCTCTGACCCAGGCCGCGGAGGGCGCGGTGCCCTTCCCGAGGGCAGCGCTGAGCCCGGCCCGGCTCCAGGCCGCGGTGGGGGCCGTGCCCGCGGCCCGCACGGAGCCCCCGCAGCCGGCAGGTGGCAGGGCAGCCCCGCGCCTCGCCCCGGCCCGCCCGGCCCGGCCCGGCCCGGCCCGCTGCGGCCCTTCCCGGGCGGGGAAAAGCCTTTGTGTTCCCGAGCCCACAGAGCAGAGCGCCTGCCCCCGGCAGCCAGGGCGGCGGCGGTGTGGGGGCTGCGCGCTCCCGGGGGACACCGGTTTCCCACGGGGGAGCGGGGCTGCGGCTGCTGCTCGGCGCTATCCGCAGCTGCCGTAGGGTGTGATGGGCGTTTTTATTATTATTATTAATGGCAGCTCGTTCGCGCTGAGGTTATATTACAGCCCCATTGTGCGAGGCTCCGCACAAGGCGGTCAGAGACAGTCTGTACCCGAGAACAGGCAGTCAGAACAGAGAAAGGCAGCCGAGAGGGCGGGCAGGAAGAAACGCCACTCAGGGAGGGAAAGCCTTTTTACCCTGGTTCCTCCAACAGGCCAGGGGCAGAAAATGAGGTTTGTAGGCTGCCACGGGCCCTCTCATCCTTTGAACCTCACAGTCCTCTTGTGCAAGGGGAATAAATAACCTGTGGCTGGCCGGTTTTTGGTGGTTCAGCATTTGTAAGCGCTGACCGTTTACCCCTTGGTTAAAGCTAAACCCGCCTTCTCTTTCCCTCGCTGTTTAACAGAGGTGCGGGCACTGGGAGCCCATGCCAGCGTGCTGGGTGCTGGGAAGGTAATCATTAATCCCGGGGGCTGCTGGCCTGTCCTGCTGGGCACCGAGGGACCGCTGCCCAGCTGCCTGCCGGGGCTGGCCCTGCCGGGGCCCGGCTCTGCTCCGGGCAGCCCACGGGCAGCGAGCGGCTCACGAGGTTGCCTGCCGGGGGAGAGCAGACCGCTCCGAGCAGCTGAACTTTTCACTCCAGTTTCCAGACAGATTTCCAGAGATGCTTGAGAGAGGGGAGGGGATAGGAAGCAAGATTTGTAGGGGGACCAGCCTGGCCTTTTTCAATTCAGCCGCAGAGTTAGTTAACAAAGTTGCAGGTTCTCAGCCTCTTTTTCTCTTTCTTGCCAGCTCTTTTTTTTTTTTTTTTTTTTTTTTCCTTCCTCAATATAAATACCCTGGGGCGGTTTCTTTTCTTTTTGGTATGAATGTGATGATCTTTCAGGGCTGTGATTGGCTCCGCGGCTTGTCATCGGGGACACACCTCCTGGCGTGGGGCCACCGCCTCCCCCTCTTGTGAAAGCTTCTCCTTGTAACAAGTGAGCGTAATTACATCAGTTACTCACTAGAGCACAGACCTGCTTTAAATTTTGGCCTCTTGGAGCCAGCGAGAAGCTGAAGGACTAGAAAATGCAGTTTCAAAGGCCTGTAACACTATGGATCATACAAGTCACGCTGTGCTCTTCCCTCCCAGGAATTAAGGCTCCCAGCCACACGTGAGGAAGAATGAATACCAGTACTAGTCATGGAAATGCCTATCTGTTAGGAGAACAGAGCTGCCGCACCTGAGAATGATTTCTGCTTTGCCAAAGCCTCGCCCACTAAAAAAGATACACACCAGGTCCCTTTTGAATTGAGCTTTGGTGTAAATTAATCAGAAAATGCCACACTTTCGGGGGCCTCAAAAGGGAAGAGAACTCATGGTCAGAGCTGCATGGAATGTGGGTGATCCCTTAAAAAGAGCAGAGCCAAACAAACAAAGGCATCTGTGTGCCAAAAGAAAATGCATTTCACCCAGCAGCAAGATCCTACAAGACAGGGCCAGATTTGGTGGGGGAAGAAAGTGACCCTAAAGAGCAGCATTTCTGTCCAGGTGGATGTTGCAGGAGGAGGCTGATGCATTTCTGACACATCAGGAGAGAAGTGTCCAGTGCTTTTGTGAGCATGTTCCAGAAAGGGCTGTGGTGGGAGCATCCTTGCTGTGTTCCAGGGGCCCAGATCCTCTGTATGGGTAAGTAGGTGTAGCATGAAAGAAGCCAGTGCTCTCGCAGCCAAAAACCTATTCCATGCTGGCGTGGCAGAGGTTGGCTGATAAGGAGAAAAGTTTCTGCATAGGAAAAAAAGGAAGCAGTGCTCCGAGTGAAGGAGAGAGCTCACAACTTATCCCCCTTTGTCCTGTAAGGATGTGACCCTGACACGTGGCACAGATGCTGCTGCAGCTTGGTGAGTTGGAAGGATGCAGATGAGGTGTAGGAGAATGTAAACCATCCATCTGGCTGGGAGGGTCAAATCCTCAGGTACAGATGTTTGCAGGGTGTCAGAATTGCTCTCCTGACATGGGACAGACCCAGGCGTTTTCAAATATATCTTGCAAAAATTATGCAAGGAGAGACATTTACACCCTTGTCCCCTCCAGCTATTCTCTAGCATGCAGGTGTTTGCTCAGAGCAGAACCAGCCCTGCTTCTGGAACAGGCAGAGCAAAACTTGAACTGACTCTCACATTGTTTGTCCAGCAGACTGAATATGATTTTAGCCTTTTGTCCCTGTCTGTCTCTTTCAACTCTCAGCCCTAAGTTAAAATAAAAATAACCTTCTGCATTCTATCCTTCATTAGAGAAACTTCTTCCTGAAAATATCATGAAAACTGATGTGCCCCTATGAAAAATGTGGATTTTGATGATTCAGCATTTTCCCATGGAACATAAAGCTCCTTTGTTCTTCTGACCAGCTCCCAGCAAACGGCTCAAAGGCATGTGTTTCATGTTTCCTCCCAGGAACCTGTTCCTGAAGCAGCTGAGAAGCTTCCTAGGTCATGGCCCACTCAGTAGGTGTCATTGGATCAGACAGTCTAAAAGCTAGCAAAGAGCTCCTCTTTGTTCTTACAGACCTGGAAAACATGAAAAATAGTACTCTGTTTTCTGTGGTGTCAGGTGTTCTCTGATGGTATGAGCTTCAGTGGGACCTGGTTGCTGCCTGATTTTGGGAAGAGGTCTCAGTACAAGTGACTATGCCCCATTACTGAGCTGAAGTTGTGGAAAGGAAGGAGCAATGTACCACAGGAGCCAAAGAGGAGGCATGGAAAGGGACAGCAGGCTTCCACTTCTGAAGCATAAATATTGAGATTTGGGTTCCTGAAACGGAAAATACCCGTACCGAGATGTGAGAGCTGCAGGGTGCCTAACATCTTTGCAAGAGATGCCTGTCTACACCAAGGACCAGGGAATTGGTACACAGAGGACAGTGTTTAAGATAGGAAGCTGTATTTCTGGCAGAGGAGGAGCAAGGAGAACAGAAGGAGATTGGTACTGGGACAGATGTGTCAGCAGGCCACAGGCACTTCCATGTACCCAGATGTCATATCCGACTTGGCACTGACCTCCAGCCCAGAGTGAGAATGTCATGATCTCAAAGGACATTTGATCATTTCCCTTGCCTGTATGCAACTGCCAAGCCACCTTTCTTTCCAGGTGGATCAAGCTTTTATCCTTACTGCTATTATGATGCCTAACATTCCCTGCAAGGAACAATTGTGGTGAAATTCCTTACATAGAGACTGACATGCAGAGATGGCAGGAACAAAATAATAATGCTAGCCATAATAATAAATAACAGCCCCATTTGCTTTAATCCACAGCTCACAAAACAACAGCCCAGTCCAAATTCTCATCTGCTGTGGAGATAAAGGGTGTGATTTACTCTGTCAGCTATGGAGAACAGACACACCACAAGACAGTTATCTCTGGCCATAAACAAACTGGAGTGGCTTTGCCTTTTAACAGGCTCCCTTCTCCTCTCCTGTGGAGTGCTACTTTCTGCCTTATGTAACCCTCTGGGCAACTCCATTGCCCTATTTTGTTTTAATAAACTTGAGCAGTTTGAGCTATGGACCCTTCACTTTTCTGATGTCGTTGCCACTTCACAGGGCTCCCTTTCTTGCCCTGCTCTGCAAGGTTCCATAGGTAATATCTTGGGAGGAGCTAAATAAATAGCTTCCAAGTTCCGACACAACCCACGTGTCAAACTTCCTTTTGAATGTTAGCCTTGGAGGTGAGAAGGAAAGACTGAGTTGGCTAGGAAAATGCATAACCTTTCAGAAACAGTTTTTTACCTTCCTTATCACCCCTTTAAGGTCATAAAGATTATGCCAAAGAAGCTATTAAGTTTTCCAGGATTGCAAAATATTTTATCAATGATAGAGATGAAGCATGCCGTTCCACTTTTCAGTTTTTTGCTTTATATTTCCTTTTATGTTTGGGGATTTGATCTTAATCTTCTCTCCGTACCTTTCTGTTTCCGTCCTGATTGGAGGCATGGTTAATTGTTTCTTGTAGCCAGAAGCCTGAACTGAATTGCAAACAGAAGACCTCTCAGGCATAAAAAAAAAAAAAGAAAAAAAAAAGAGTGAACCTGGAAATTAAAAATGTGAGCACCATGATTCCTTAACAGACTGAGCATCAGATTTTGTCTCTGTCATGGCTCCTGAGAGGTATATAAAATTTCTGAACAGCAATGACTGACAGCAGTGTTCCAGCAGTGACAGCAAACTGCCTTCTCTACTCAAGTTAATTTAGGAGCTAGATATATTTCTCCACCTAAAATCATCTGTGAAAACTTGACACTAGAACATCTCTAGCAGTTAAATAATGGAATCTGGGCTGAAAGGGCTGCGCACTGTTCTCCACCAGGTTTCCCTAGGGACGAAATAGGAATCAAATGCCGTATGATGCCATCTGAGATTCCGTTCCTCACACGACACAGTGAGGAGCAGATTAGTGTCCTGCTCATAATGCATCCCCTCCAAATCCCTCACTGGAGAAGGATATCCAGAGCTTTGGAGAAATGCTGAAAAGAGGCTCATGAGAGGCCCAATTCTTCACATTGAACTGGAAAATGTTACGAGTGGATTGCAAAGCTCTACTGAATATTGAGTTAATCCAAGATTTACGTGCCATAAGCCTCCAGAAATTGGGCTGTGGCGGGTTTTAGTTAAAGCAGTGTTAGCTAACCTTTTAAGAAACCCTGTTTTTCCTCCCTGTGCAGCCTTTCTGATAGGCCTTGTTTTCCCAAAGGAACAGATCCTCAGCTGTCATAACGCAGACTCATCTCACTGAAGGCAGTGAAGCTGGAGGTTAGGAGCATCTGACCCAGAAACAATTCCTCTTAATAGTGATATGTTTGTTACCACTAGGCAAGATGACAGACTGAGTGCTGGTGATGGAAGAGTAGCAGACAGGCTACTGGCTCAAAGACTGTCCATTTGTCCATTTGTCTCCCATGGCGTTTAGTACAAAGAGAGGCAGAAGCGGGAAGATGAGACACTTCAGTGAAGTTGGCATGAAGAAGAAGAGGCAAATCTTGCTCAAGCTGAGTTAGAGTGGAAAAACTTTTATCAGGGAGGTGCCAAGTATAAATCACAAACAGATACTTCTTGGTTGAGACAATTCTGAAAGAAGACAGTAGCCAATTAATTAATGCCAACTGGCTATAAAACAGAAGAGTATTACAACCTTTTAGGACAGCATATGTCAGCCTTTTTCACAGCCTTTTCCCACATGGTGTGGCTGCCCCTTTCCCACATAAGTAGACTATTTTCCTAGGGTGGACAGAGAGGCCAGGGGTGCAGGATCTTCAAGGTGGTGTTTCAGGTGCCAAGCAGGCATATCAGCTTCAATTTTATGCTCTGTTCATGTTGTCTAGGGTCTTCCTCCAGTCTCGTAAGTAGTATAGAAAGACTTCCTTTGTGATTGTAACAGGAAAAACAGGCTGGATGGAAGAGGATAAAAAACCAAGTGGACATGACTGCTCTGACAGCTCTGTCATGCTCTGTCTGGGGGATACTTGTAATTCCCAGGTGGAAACTTTGTCTCTGGGTCAGTGATTTGTAGTGCTGAAGCCACCCACAGTGTCCTAGTGGCAGCTCAAGGTAGACTGATCGCTGTGTAGGAAATGCAAGTTCCATCCTATTCCTAGCATCTGTTGCAGATGACTTATGACAACAATGGCAGACTTTTAATAATTTTAAGAGTTATTAGTTCAATATATTTTCTCTCTTTTTAGATTGAAATATTTAAATGTGGAACAATGGCCATCTGTATTTGGATGCTTAGTGTGTTTGATAAAAAGTATCTCTTTGTCTTGATTATTTGTTTAAATATCGGGTTACACATGCTTCCTGCCAAAACATTTTAGAAAGCTGAACCAAAGCATTGCCTAAGCACCTGGAACCAAAGCTTGATAAGTGATAAATCCACTTTTGAGACCAATTGCTCTTCCATGAGCACACCATGACTATTTATTCTGTTTCAGTTTATTCAACAACTTAAATTCAGTGACTTGCTTATTCAAACTTAAGAAAATTAATGAAGTTGGAAAAAAATGGGCAAGCTTGTTTTTCTCCTCTGGCCTATGATGAAAATGAGGATGAGCAAAAAAGATTCAGCAGATCTATGCTATTGGGGTATATGGTATACTGAAACAGCCTGTTTGACCCATTAGTCACTGATACAACTTATTTTGTTTAATATTAATTTTTGTTTTATGTTTTGCAATTAGGGTGGTTTATATAAATAATAAAGAGTTTAATGCAAATGTTTTTAGAGATTTTTTTAATGGATTCAAATTCATTCCAATTGCAGCCTGATATGAATCAATTCTAAAGATAAACAGTCATCCTATAACAAATTAAAAATACATAATTCACTATTTCCTAGCATAGAAAATTGTAATAATCAAGGTTTAAAAAAAACATGTAAAGCTGTGAATAAATATGTGTAGATAAAATTGTCTGCTGGTAACAGTAATTAAATAGATAGACTCTATGTGGTTTTAAGTCAACAGAGTCTTTCTGGTTACAGCCTGATGACTATGAACCTTTCTTTATGGAAAATAATTAAAAGGATAACTGGAAAAGAAGGTTTTATTTAATATTTAAAAATAAGCTCTCCTGCTTACTAATTTAAATGGGTGATTTAATCTGTTCACTGAAGCTCAAATTTATCAGTTTTAGTCCAGTTTCCTTGTAGTTACTGAATGGGTGGGGTTTTATGCACCCACTGTTTGAATTTCAGGCTGTTCTCTGTGAAGTTGAAGCCAAGCCTCCCTGAACTCCATCAGATTTTTCCCATCAGTTTTCCAGCAGTCTGGGACCAGCTTTCAGTGGTCTGGATCTGTGACTACTCAGTTGCTAAAAATCAACCCCTTGTGCAATTCCTCACAGGTAACTTCTGTCGCTGCCTGACATGTTCCACTAACAGCAGAGGAGCAAAGAAAAGAGATGCTCTGATGATAACACATGCTAACAGTTTGTATTGTCCCTGCCTATGCTGCATCTCTATTTCAACCTCCTGCCTGTTTACCAGATCTTTCCCATCTCAAAAGTGACTTTAGACTGTCATCAAAGCCTTTGTCGGTACCTGTGATGAGGCAAAAAGCAACAGCCATGAAGCAGGTGAACCCAAACAGAAACCACGATTTGAAAAGCAAAGGCAGAGTGAGCCTATCTAGTTCAAGGCTGGAGGATAGAGTTGTGAAACTGTGAAAACAGTGGAATCATTTCATTGAAGAATAAGAAGAAACAAATAAGGTAATTTATTGCAATACAACTAGAAGTGTCTGTCAGTTGCTAGGAGCTTTTCTTCTGCTTCTCCATCCTTCATTTCTGTCCCATCCCATCCCATCCCATCCCATCCCATCCCATCCCATCCTTTTCTTCTGGGTACCACAGGAACTTAAAACTCCTCTTCCTGCCTCCAGAGCCCAGCACAGAGCTGTGCTGTGCAGGGATTGTTGAAACATCTCTGTGCACAGCTGCAGAGTCTCTCTCCATGTGTGAACTCTCTCAGCCCCCAGTGTGCATGACACAGCACTGTGCCACCCAGGCATCTGCTAGGAGTAAGGCACGAGGTGAGTGGTAGCGTCAGACTCATGAGGCAAAAGCCGGCGGTGCATTTCTGTCCCATCCCATCCCATCCCATCCCATCCCATCCCATCCCATCCCATCCCATCCCATCCCATCCCATCCCATCCCATCCTTTTCTTCTGGGTACCACAGGAACTTAAAACTCCTCTTCCTGCCTCCAGAGCCCAGCACAGAGCTGTGCTGTGCAGGGATTGTTGAAACATCTCTGTGCACAGCTGCAGAGTCTCTCTCCATGTGTGAACTCTCTCAGCCCCCAGTGTGCATGACACAGCACTGTGCCACCCAGGCATCTGCTAGGAGTAAGGCACGAGGTGAGTGGTAGCGTCAGACTCATGAGGCAAAAGCCGGCGGTGTATCATATCCATTCTCAGCTGTTTCCGTGTGCAGGCAGTTCCCCTGGTGCAAGGTACACACTGCATAATTGCATCTCCTGCCTATCTGCTGATCAGCCCATCCGTGTCGTGAATCAGCTCCTCCATGAGGGAGAGGCCTCTGGAGGGACATGTGTGAGCTATTTAGTGCATTTATTGCTGTGTGTTTAGTTTGTTTGTTAAACTTGTGATGGCAGAGTTCATGTTCACTTCACTGGGGAAAGCACCATCCCACGTCCCTGGCAAAGATGTGCAACCAAATGTCCACCTAGGATCCAAAATGACCCATACCTGCCATCCCTGAACCAGCTTCTGTTTTTCAGCCCTCCCCACTGGTTTGCAGTTCCCGTTCTTGAGCTCCTTCCTCTGACTATAGATGCCTATCAGCATAACTGGAATTCATGGCATGACCTTTGATTCCTTCTGTCCTCATGCCAGACTCCAGCAAGGCTCTGTTATCAGATACTAAAGTCTATTACAACATGAAGTGCATGCACAAATTTACCCAGGCGGATGCCCTGGCATCCTTGCCTGATAGTTCCACCTTCGC